GCAACTTGATTTGAATAATAGAATTCAAATAATTCTTCAGGTATATCCATCCATTCTGCTTTCCAAACACTAGCAAATCCTCCTTCAGATAAGTATTCTATATTTTTGAATTTGCTATAATCTACCCATCTCCAAATTTCCCATACCTTTGCATCTTCATTTAATTGAGACGTGTGAATAATCTTGTCAATTTCATAATTACCACTAGTCCATTTTGACAAATAGCCTATTTCAATAAGTTTACAATTTAGACATCTATTTTTGTACATATTTAAATTTCCACAATCATGACATAAACCAAAATTATGATAATACTTAATGCAAATTTTACTACACCCATTTTCTTTCCAACAGATACAACAAAAATGATTATTATTAAAAAGTTCAACAGATACTGCATCATCATCACTTTTATCATCTCGCATTAAATTGTTTTCATTTTTCTTAATTTTAGAGATCCCAATTTCATTTCGATATAAATATTCAACTAAATTCTGACCAAATTTTTCGCCATCTTCAGCTGATTTCGAATACCATTCAAATGCTTTCTCTTCATCTTTTGTTGTTCCAATCCCATTTTCATAACAAAAACCAAGAATAAATTGTCCTGAACTATCTCCACTTTCAGCTGAATTTAAGTACCACTCAAATGCTTTCTCTTCATCTTTTGTTGTTCCAATCCCATTTTTATAACAATGTACAAGATTATATTGTCCAGCAATGTTTCCACCTTCAGCTGATTTCAAGTACCACTGAAATGCTTTCTCTTCATCTTTTGTTGTTCCAATCCCATTTTCATAACAACGTCCAAGATTATATTGTCCAGCAATGTTTCCACCTTCAGCTGATTTAAAGTACCACTGGAATGCTTTCTCTTCATCTTTAGTGGTTCCAATCCCATGTCGATAAAAATATCCAAGATTATTCTGTTCGTCACTATCTCCTCCTTCGGCTGATTGTAAGTACCTTTGAAATGCTTTTTCCTCATCTTTTGTTGTTCCAATCCCATTTCTATAACAACGTCCAAGATTATATTGTCCCACAATGTTTCCACCTTTAGCAGATTTTAAGTACCACAGAAATGCTTTCTCTTCATCTTTTGTTGTTCCAATCCGTTTTTCATAACAATAACCAAGATTATTCTGTCCAATTATATTACCACCTTCAGCTGTTTTCAAGTACCACTGAAATGCTTTTAATTCATCTTTTGTTGTTCCAATCCCTTTTTCATAACAATTTCCAAGATTATTCTGTCCATCACTATCTCCTCCTTCAGCTGATTTCAAGTACCACTGAAATGCTTTCTCTTCATCTTTTGTTGTTCCAATCCCTTTTTCATAGCAATAACCAAGATTATTCTGTCCATCACTATCTCCTGCTTCAGCTAATTTCAATTGCCACTGAAATTCTATCTCTCCACCTTCATTTGTTTGAATTTCGTTGTATTGTTTATTTTCCATTTTGAATTAAATTACACTCCGCAGAATAAAGTTTCTATAAAAATAGAACTTTGAAACTCAATATATTTTATTGAATTTCTAAATGAATATATATTCTAAAGGCGTTAAAATAATTAAATAAATGTCATATTAAATTCAATACGTTATATTTCCTATAAAAATATGACATACGTTCAGTCGTTTATATTAATTTACACTTTGGTTTGTCGGATAAGAGCTTTCTCGAATAAATATTAATTGTTCACTAGTATATTCTTTCGGAACCTTCTATTTCTTTTAATTCTCTAGAATTTCTATTATTTGTTGAAATTCCGAAATTCCATAAACGATCTACATTCACTTTACTAATAATGTGAGATTTTGGAATTTCATAATTCTTAAATAAGATAAACGATCTACATTCAATGCATGTGTACTTCTAATTGGAATTTCTTATCATTTCATTTAACAATAGGTGCCCATGGTATAAAAAAATGAATTTTTTAAAATATGTACAAAAAATTTCTCTTAATTAAAAGATCTTGTTCAAAGAAATCTTCATACTTATTGAAGAAATCTTTGTATTTGTTCAAAATATTAATGAAATCGTTGTATGTAATTCTTTCAGGTGATATTTCTAACATTCTCTTTTTACTTTTATTGCAATATTTTAAATTAATATGCATAATATATTAATATTATTTAAAAATAGATTATTTAGATAACAATTCACTTGGGAAAGGAGGTACGCAATACGGAAATTATTTAAATAATAATTCAGTAATCTAATTTCTTATACCAGTTAATATTATTAAAGAATTCACCTTTATCGATGTTCTATAATTCCTCATGACTATTTTATGGGTCAAGTAAGTTGATCACTGAAAACAAAAAAAAATTGTCAAAAGAGAAAAGTTTTAGAGTATTACTGTACATAGTCCCTGAAGTTTTAGGTAGTGAAGATCTGCTGATTTTTTTTACAATCATTACTAAATTATTACCATAGCACATAGAGTTTCATGATTCTGAGTGTTAGCCTCAACTAAAAATTCCACACTTCACAACAAATAATTATGTAATGTTTGGGAAAATCAAAAATAAAGTGATATACATCATATATTTGAAAAGGAGACAACATTAAAAGAAGTTTTGCAATGAAACTCTTTAATGGAGAACTGCCAGGTAATGCTCAAAAGATTCAAGCTCAACCTCACATATATAACAATCCAAAATGTATACTATGTGGAAGATGTGAGGAAACTGACATACATGTGTTTGAGTGCAAAAGAAACAACAATGGAGATAGTGAATACACCCCAATGACAAAACATTACAAACAACTAATAGATTGCCTTACCACAAAAATTCAAAGACAAACAGATGAGATAGATGAAGACAAAATACAAACAGAACTCAGATCCCTAAGTGAGTTATGGAATTGGTGGGGGGATACAGATGAAATGCGTTCACCTACAATTACATTACATGAATTAATTAAGGGATACATACTATATTCATTAGTATTCAAAGTTACATCACTGTTGAAATCTAGGGAAAGGGCTAGGGAAACGATTATTGAAGGGTTGGTCAGCTTCAAAGAATACTTAAAAGACCACTGGAAGGAATGATATGAAAAAGTGGCATTATGGAAAACTGAAAACAGATTGAAAAGACAAAAAAAAAGATAAAAGTAGTTTTAAAAAAGAGGGAAAAATGTTAGAATGCAATGACAGTTCAGATTTCATAGAATCTAATGAAGGGGAATATAATAAATTAGATCAAATAGAAAAAAATATGTATATATTTAGAATGTAGATTAACATAGGATGCAAATATAATGATAATTATAGTTAAAGATACAATAATTACATCTGATATGGTTTTGGCCATCAGTTCCTGAGGTTACACTCAGGCAACAATGAGTCAGACCATAAAATCTTTCTTTTTAGTCAGTTTCAATAAATGTATAATAAATTATCTGTATCTTTAAAAATTTACATCAAATATGTTAATAAAAGTTTATTAGGGCAAGACTCTGTTGGATTTAAAAAAAAATATACATCATATATTTATTTTTATAATTATTAAATAACGTAAATGAGCTAATATGAAAATGACTAGACTTTCTTCAAAAGAAAGCATAGTGAACATCACATAAATTGCATGACGACGCCAAAGTAATAATTATATCATTAAATTTTTATTAATTAACGAAAATTTACAAATTTAATCATTCCATATTAAATAGACTCACTAAGATTACAACTTAATGAACTTAGAGATCAAGGTAATGTCAAATTAATTTTAATAATTAGCGAAATATCTTAAATTTAATTAATTAACAAACTAATTAATTTAATTAAATAAATTTAATTAGTTAAAGAACTAATTAATTTTATTAAATAAATTTTAGATAAGAATACGATTGAAGTAAGGGATTTCAAAAATATCACTTAAAAATCAGGCGACAATTATATTATTTTATATAATGTTTAATTTATTCATTATTAAAGTCCTCTAATTTTTTAAGCACAAATAAAAATAAAATAAATAAATTATCAAATTAATCTTAAAAAATGGATTGAAAATTGAATATATCCTAACTCTCTTTTAATTCTTTTCTATAATTATGTTTATTAATAATTTCGCAATAAATTTTGTTCTATATTCTAATCATTAGATCATGGGAAAGATGGTTGATGAGTGACTTCTAATCAAGTAATCGATTATAATTTATAGTTTGGTTTATTTTTTAATTTTTCTTCTTTTTTTGAGTTTTTCCTTTCTCATTTAATGTAATTAAATGAATTATTATTAATGTAGATAAATATTTGTGTTTCTAATTATAAAACGGAAAACTAGAAATAAAATTCCCCTGATCCTGAATTCTTGTCTATTCTATTAAATAAAATTAAATTATAAAAGCAGCGAAACACGCAACCGATTCATCAATCATTCCTAAACAGATTTCTTGTTTTTTTTAATATCAATTAGATACTGCTATTCCATAATAATTATTAATTGTAATAAGCGGATCTTTTTGTCCCTAAATAAATTATTTAACTATTATGTTGATAACAAATACATCATAATTATTTTAAAAGGTGACTAAATTATTATTATTTTTTTTTTATAATTAAATTTAACGTTAAATTCTTTTTGATTTTATTAATTAATTTAATGTTTATTGTAATTTTATTAATTAATTTAATGTTGACTTTAATTAATTAAGATGCTATCCGTCCGTCTAAGTCAGCACTAATTTATTATGTAAAATTCGGGTTAACAATTAATGCACAAAAAAATTAGTAAGATTTATTTGTTTAAGATTCTATCTAGCTAATATTGATATTAGACCACATGTTTTATTAAAGTTGTGAACATTTATAAAAAAGTTTATTATAGGAAAAATCATTTTGAGTCAGTCGCTGATTTAGAAAACTCTAACCCGAGTGTCATTAATAAATGACTAAGAGATCTAGTGCCAATCTTAACCGGATCATATAAAACTATATCAAATATTCCATAAATTTTATATACCATTGACTTTTAGTACATGATATATATATTCAATTTTGCAAAAAATAAATAATACAATGAAATACATAGCGAACTAAATATATGTATTTTTTTCCATATCAAATAGAACCCTGTGTTCTTCATCATCACTTAATGTAAACAGTCGTTTCCCTTGACGTTTTACAATAACATTTTTATTTCCCCCTCCTTTACAACACCACCCTTCAAAAAATTTTCTTAAACTATCAAAACCATTAGTATTAAATGTCCGTGGATAAACCGGATAAACCATTATAATTTCAATAGTTTCAAGTGATTCTATTACATTCTCGGCCATTTGACATAATAATTCAGTGTCAAATATTTTTATCCCACAATCAGTTGAAAATCTTTTTAACTCATTAAAATTATTTTTAAATATTGTTATTACTTGTTCACGACTTAAATTTAGTAAAGTTAATTCGGTAATCTTTGAGCAATAATTTAAAATTGCCGAAATTGTATCAAATGTGATGGGATATAAATCAAGATAAATTTTTTTTAAATTTATATTGGCAGTTTCGAGAATTTTTATAATAAATTCTTGAGAATACTTCTGATCTTCCAATCTCGAATGAGAATAATGAAAACTACTCAATTGAGTAAATGATGAAGCTAAGGATAAACGAACCGATTTATGAAATGAACAACCTACGATAGAAAGCTCTTGAAGTGAAATAAATTGACCAATTGGTGATGAATTCTCCTCAAAACGATTTAAATTTATTGATTTTAAACGAAGACTCTTTAATGTTTCTTTTTGACTGATGATAGCCCAAAATAATGAATCGCAATCGCATTCTAGATAACCATTACTAAAAATTGATAGATTTTCTAAACGTTTTTGGACATTAATTAATTTTGGTAATAATTGCACTTGAGAATATGAATTCAAAGACAATTCCAGATTTAAAATATTATCACAAATTAATATTAATGATTCATATAATGGACAAATATGATCCTTTTCTATTGTAGAAGTAAAACTTTCTAATTTCTTAAATACTTCCGGAGCTCCAGGTAACTTGAGAATTGAAATAATTAAATCCCTATATTCATAAATGGCTCCAAAAATTTCAAAAGAATCCAAAAATGTACAACGATTTATTATTAATTTACATATTTCACGAAATAACATTCTCGATTCGGTGGTAATTATTCGGTGGTAATCGATTTCATTATTATTATTATTATTATTATTGATACTACCATGATCTGGACCAATAATTTGTTGTGAATAAATAGAAACAAAATTACCTAAATTAACTATTATTAATTTATGAGTGAATGATGGATAATCAAAAATGGCTTGAGGTGGTGATGATGATAAATCAAACCCATTTTGAATAAGTAAATTTCTAGCTTGAGTATCCATACATGATATATAAGTTCGAATACATAATGCATTCTTCCTCATCTTCTTACGATCCCACCAATAATAGTTTTGACCCAAAGGTAATTCCCAAAGTATAGGTATAGTAACTTTGCACCACAATCGATTAACTAATAATGATGAATATAAATCTCGAGTTGAACCAGATGATTTAAAATTTTTTAAAATTTTAATTAATATTTCCGTTGGAATTTTAGTCGCCATTTTCAATAAAAAAAAATTTTTTTAAAAAAAAATATTCGTACTACTTTATAATAGTTTTCGATATAAATTTTTTATTTAGCAATGTAGAATTTTTCCTAATTAATTTATTAAAATAGTCAAAATATGTGGTGTTTATGTAATAAATAAAATATTGAATTACTCAAAAAAACTTATTTAAGGTTACATTACATTAATTAATACTGTTACTCAATTCCATATTAAGTTTGCATAAATAGTAATAATCACATGCGATGCGGTGATCTAAATGTAAATTTATTTTAAATTTATTTATTGATTTTTTTTTTAAAAAAAGAAATTTCTACCTTACATACTATAAGTGAAACAAAAATGCTCAGAATGCTTGCAATCAAGGGCATGATTATTGGTGTAATCTGTGCAACTCGAAAAATGGGTTTGATAAATGGACAAGTTGAAATAAATTTATTCAAGATGCCCAGTTAAATGCAGATCGGAGTTTTATGTTTATGTTAATAGATTGAATAACGATGAATTTCAAGAAATTAAACATGACTATTTATTATTCTAAGCGGATCGATGGATTAGTGATTTTAGAAATTATCAATTGGAAAAAGATGGTCAACAAGAAGTGGTGTTAGAAAAATTTGAAGGTATTAGAGGATTTCTTAAATGTGGTAAAGCAATATTTTTTAAAAATATATATATTATTTTAATCCAGAAAATAGATTATTGATGAAAAACAAGAGGTTGCGCTATTACGACTGGATTTTATAGTTTTACAACGATCCAGAAACTCACATATATGTGATCATATTAGAATATCTTTCAGAACGGAAATTTAGAAGTTATTTAAATAATAATTTTAATAATATTAACGTGTATAAGAAATTTGATTACTCGAGCATTTAATTTACAAATATTCCATAATTCTTCAAGACTATTTTATGAGTTAAGTTATTCACGGAAAACAAATAAAATATCCTGAAAAGAGAAAATTTTGAGTATTACCATATATGGTTTCTGATGTTTTGGGTGCTGGCTTTTCTTCTAATCATTGCTGGAATAGTTCTCATGTCCTGATGTGTTCATTATGATAAGTTAAAGTTTCATAATCCTGAGGGAACTTTTGTTTAGCTTTCCGCCGATAAATTTATCCGTCGCGGATGTAGATCGTAAATCAATAAATTTGTGCAGATCGATGTACAACAAATGAAATGTGATTAAGTACGTTGGCGAATGACCTTTAAAGAATATAATCACACACTGTGTTAGCCTAGCCTATCCGTAAAAACACATAGCGGATCGCATCATTACACTTCAAAACAAATAATTATGTAATGTCGGGGAAGATCAAAAACAAAAGTACACAGTAAATTTTTTAGGTTTAATAATACGTAATATTGCACCATTTACAAAAAAAAATCAATTTTGACTTCGCTCGCGATTTACGTAACAGGGAGCGATTTTCTACTAAGGTATTTCTAATATGGACTTAAAATCCTTGTTCCTGCTACATGTCGATATATGTTTTATTCCTGTAGCTTCGATATTCATCGAGATATTCACGTATAGTCGAACGTCCGTGAAAAATTTCGCAAATAATTTTCGTGGAAGAATTTTCCTTGAAAATTTTCCTTTAAACGTAACTATTTCATGAATATCGATGATATATAAATAAAACACATATCAATATGTAGCCAGGAACCAGGACTTTCGATCTATTTTAGAAATACCTTAGAAAAATTCGCTCCCTGTCATGTAAATTGTGAGCGAATTCAAAAAAACAGGGTTCTTTTAGGCGTAAATTTCCGAAATATTTACGTAATATTTGAAAATTTACGCCTGAAAAATTTGCTGATGTATATTATATGTTTTTTATAATTATTAAATATTGGAAATGTAATCTGAAAATGAATAGACTTTCTTCAAAAGAAAGCATATTAAAAATTCTTATAATTGTACGACGCAAAAGTAATAATTCTAAAAAAAAAAAAAAACCATCATTAAATTTTTAGTGATTGCCAAAATTTAAACATTAACCATATTAATAAACTCTCTGAGATTACCTTAATGAATTTAGAGATCAGGGTAATGTTCAAACTGATTTTAATAATTAGCGAAATATATAAAATTTAATTAATTGTCAAGCTAATCAATTTAGTTAACGAACTAACTAATGTAATTAAATAAATTTTAGATAATATACGATTAAGAGTTTGACATTATTGCATTGAAAAATATAATATTAGATGTTTGTAAATGATTTTTTGATAAAAATTTCAGGTGATTTGGTTATGGCTAGAAATTTACTATATATAGGAAATCGACATTTCGGTTTTGTTAATTTTGTACCACTAAGTGTGGGATCGGAAATTATATAATGTTAAATTTTATTCATTATTATTAAAGCTCAGGTAACTTTTTTAAGCACAAATAAATAAATTATTATTAGATCATGAGAAAGATGGATGATCTAATCAAGTAATTGATTATAAGTTTTAGTTTAAAATATTTTTTATTTTTTTTTTATTTTTTGGATTTTTTCTCATTCAATGTAATTAATTAATTATTTTTAATGTAGATAAATATTTATGTTTCTAATTATATTATTTAAAACGAAAAACAAGAAATAAAATTCTCCTGATCCTGAATTCTTGCTTATTCTATTAAATTAAGAATAAATTATGAGAGCAACGAAACAAGCAATTATTCTTATTCCATAAAATGTTTCTTGCTTTTTTATATCAATTGATACTACTATTCCACAATAACTATTAATTGTAATTATTGTAATTGATGTTAAAGATTTGATCCTCTAAATAATAAATTACTTAACTATTATGTGATACACCATAACCATAATTATTTTTAAAAAGTGACTAAATTATTGTTAACTTTAATGTTAAATTCTTTTTAATTTTAATTGATTTAATTTTATTAATAAATTTAAATTATATCAAATTGAACTCCATATTCTTCGATAACTTTAAAATGTTCATCACTTAATGTAAATATTAATCTTCCAAGACCTCTTACAATAACATTTTTATTTCCTCCTCCTCCTTTACAACACCCCCTTCAAAAAATTTTCTTAAACTATTAGTACTAAATATCCATGAAAAAACCATTCCAATTTCAATAGTTTCAAGTGATTCTGGTACATTCTCAGCCATTTGACATAATAATTCATTAGCATCAAATATTTCTCTTCTACAATCAAATGAAAATCTTCTTAATTCATTAAAATTATTATTAAATATTTTTATTACTTGTCCGGAACTTAATTTATTTAAAGATAGTTCAGTAATCTTTGTACAATAATTTAAATTGCTGAAAATATTTTAAATGTAATTGTGTGATTTAAATCTAGATAAATATTTTTTAAATTTGTATTGGCCGTTTCGAGAATTTTTACAATAAATTCTTGAGAATACTTTTGAGTTACATGTCTCGAATAGGAATAATGAAAACTACTTAATTGAGTAAATGATGAAGCCAAGGATAAACAAACTGATTTATGAAATCCTGAACAACCTACGATAGAAAGTTCTTGAAGTGAAAAAAATTTACCAATTGATGATGAATTCTCCTCAACACGATTTAAATTTACTGATTTTAAACGAAGACTATTTAATGTTTCTTTTTGACTGATAATAGCTCGAAATAATGAATTGCAATCTAAATCTAGATAAGCATTAACAACAATTGATAGATTTTCTAAACGTTTTTGGAAACTGATAAGTTTTATTAATAATTTAACTTGAGAATATGAATTCAAAGTCAAATCCATATTTAAAATATTATCACAAATTAATCTCATTGATTCATATAATGAACAAATATAATCATTTCCTATTGTCGAAGTAAAACTTTCTAAATTCTTAAATACTCCGGAACCCCAGGTAACATGAGAATTGAAATAATTAAATCCTTATATTCATAAATGGCTCCAAAAATTTCAAAAGAATCCAAAAATGTACAACGATTTATTATTAATTTACATATCTCATGAAACAACATTCTTGATTTGGCGGCGATGGTGATTTTATTATTATTAACTTGATCTAGACCAAAAGGGCGGTACAAATGAAAAATCAAGCCCTTTCTCTCTCCCTCTTTCTCTCTTTCATATATGAAAATATAATAAACTAAATTAACTATTATTAATTTATTAGTGAATGATGGATAATCAAAAGTGACTTGAGGTGGTGATGATGATAAATCAAACCCATTTTGAATAAGTAAAAGTTCTAGCTTGCGTATCCATACATGATATATAAGTTCGAATACATAATGCATTCTTCTTCAACTTCTTATCATTCCTCCAATTATATTTTTGACCCAAAGGTAATTTCCAAAGTATAGGTATAGTAACTTTGCACCACAATCGATTAACTAATAATGATGAATATAAATCTCGAGTTGAACGAGATGATTTACTCAATTCCATATTGGTTTGCATAAATGATAATAATCAGATCACATGCGATGCGGTATCCGAAATATAATTTCAATTTATTATTTATTATTATTTTTTTGTTTAAAAAAAAGAAACTTCTACCTTACATACTATAAGTGAACAAAAAATGTTCAGAATGCTTGCAATCAAGGGTGTAATCTGTGCAACTAGAAAAATGGTTTTGATAAATGGAAGAAATTTAATTTAAATGCAGATCGGAGTTTTAAGTTTATGTTATACCTTACGATGAATTTCAAGAAATTAAACAAAAGACTATTTATTATACTAAGCGGATCGATGGATTAGCGATTTTAGAAATCATAAATGGGAAAAAGATGATCAACAAGAAATGTTGTTAGAAAAATTTGAAGGTATTAGAGGATTTCTTAAATGAGGTAAAGCAATATTTTAAATTAATATGTATAATATATTAATTATTATTCAAAAAATGGATTATTTATGAGGTTACGCTATTAAAGCTGAATTTTAGGACTTTACAAACGATCAAGAAACTTAGAAATACACGATGGTATCAGAACATCTAAAAGACGGAAATCTTAGAATAATAGTATTAGTTGGTATAAGAAATTAAATTATTCAAGCATTTAATTTTATCAATATTCTATAATTCATCGTGAGTTAAGTAAGTTAATCACGGAAAACAAAAAAAAAAAAGAAAAGTTTTTTGAGTATTATTATATATAGTTCCTAAAGTTTTATAAGATGGAGGCTGCGGATTTTTTTTTTTACAATCATTGCTGAAATCATAAGATTCCACATATCACAACAAATAATTATGTAATGTTGGGAGAAAATCAAGAATAAAGTGACGTATATTATATATTTATTTTTAAAATTATTAGACTTCTTCAAAAGAAAGCATAGTAAACATCACATAAATTTTACGGCGATGCAAAAGTAATAATTCTATCATTAAATTTTTATTAATTAACGAAATTTTAAAAAGTAACCATACCAAATTAAATAGACTCCCTGAAATTACAATTTAATGATCTTAGAGATCAAGGTAATGTCAAATTAATTTTAATAATTGGCGAAATATGTTAAATTTAATTAAATTACAAACCAATTAATTTAATTAAATTAGTTACGAACTAATTAATTGAATTAAATAAATTTTATATAAGAATATGATTGAGAGTTTGAAGTAACTATATTTCGAACTATAAATATTATTGTTATAGCTGAGATCATTAAATGTCACTTAGAAATCAGGTAAGGTAACAATTAATTTATTTTATAAAATGTTAAGTTTTATTCATTATTAAATGTTCAAAGCAAAGTTTGTGTATTTTTTTAAAGCACAAAATAAATAATTCAATAGATTATTAATTAATTAATTAAATTTATTATAATCTTAATCTTAATTAATCTTAAAAAATATATTGAATTTATAAGCGAAAAAACATATCCCTAATTCTCTGTAAATAAGGTAATTTGATTAATTCGTCTTTAATAATTATATCAATTATTTCGGAAATATTTTTCTACCTTCAAATAATTAGATCATGAGAAAGATGAATGATGAGTAAATTCTAATTATGTATAATTATTCAATGCGCTTCATATTATGAAATAGATTTCTTGTTTTTTTTTAATATTTATCAATTGATAATGCTATTCAAGATAATTATTAATTGTTAACGATTTAGATCTTTCTCCTGATGATCATCTAAATATAAATAAATCATGTTGATATCAAAATATTCAATCCATAATTATTTAAAAAGTTACTTAATTATTTATTTTTTATAATCAACTTTAAATTAATTAATTAAAATTAAAAGTTAAAGCTAATTTTAATTTTAGTTTATCAATTAATTTAATGTTGGTTGATTTTGATTTTAATAATAAATTTAAGCTAAAAAATAATACTAAATTTAACAAAAAAATAAAAATAAACGATACATTAAATCATAACAAAACTAAATATATATATTCTTCAATTTGAAATCATAATTCCTCTATATCAAATTGAACTCCATATTCTTCAATAACTTTAAAATGTTCATCGCTTAATGTAAATAGTCGTGGTCCTATTACAATAATATTTTTATTTCCTCCTCCTCTTTCACAACACCAACCTTCAAAAAATTTTCTTAAACTACTAGCACTAAATATCCATGGATTTTCATAACCCATTATAATTTCAATAGTTTCAAGCGATTCTGGTACATTCTCAGCCATTTGACAAAATAATCCATCAGCATGAAACATTTCTATTCCACAACCAAATGAAAATCTTCTTAATTCATCAAAATTATTATTAAATATTGCTATTACTTGCTCAGGTCTTAAATTTAATAAAGTTAATTCGGTAATCTTCGTACAATGATTTAAAATTGCCCAATTTGTATCAAAAGTAATTGTTGGATATAAATCTAGATAAATATTTCTTAAATTTGTATTTGATGTTTCGATAATTTTTATAATAAATTCTTGAGGATATTTTTGAGCCACATCTTCTGAATGAAAATAATGAAAACTACTTAATTGAGTAAATGATGAAGCCAAGAACAAACAACCTGATTTATGTAATCCGGAACACTCTACGATATAAAGTTCTTGAAGTGAAATAAATTGATCAATTGGTGATGAATTTTCCTCAACACGATTTAAATTTACTGAATATAGACGAAGACTCTTTAATGTTTCTTTTTGACTGATGATAGCCCGAAATAATGAATTGCAATCTAGATAACTCTTACCAGCAATTGATAGATTTTCTAAACGTTTTTGGACACTGATAAGTTTTGGTAATAATTGAACTTGAGAATATGAATTCAAAGACAAATCCATATTTAAAATATTATCACAAATTGATATTAATGATTCATATAATGGACAAATATCATCATTTTCTATTGTCGAAGTAAAACTTTCTAATTTCTTAAATACTTCCGGAGCACCGGGTAACTTGAGAATTGAACCAATTAAATCGCTGTAATTACATAAATTTTTATAATAAATTTCATAAAAATTATTACTTATGGTTCCCGTCATTTTAAATGAATCTAAAAATGTACAACGATTTATTATTAATCTACATATCTCACTAAATAATAATCTTGATTCGTTATTCTTCTTAATATTATTTTGATCGGAACCAATAATTTGTTGTGGATTAATTTTAGATGAATATACGGAAACAAAATTAACTAAATTAACTATTATTAATTTATGAGTGAATGATGGATAATCGAAAGTGGCTTGAGGTGGTGATGATGATAAATCGAATCCATTTTGAATAAGTAAATTTCTAGCTTGAGTATCCATACATGATATATAAGTTCGAATACATAATGCTTTATTCCTCAACTTCTCCACCCGACGGTATTCTTGACCCAAAGGTAATTCCCAAAGTATAGGCATAGTAACTTTACACCAGATTCGATTAACTAATAATGATGAATATAAATCTTGAGTTGATTGAACATTATTTAAAATCATAATTAATATTTCTGTAGAAATTTTAGTTGCCATTTTTCTTTTCTAAGATTTAAAAAATTTTTAAAAATAAAAGAGTTTTTTAAAAAAAATTTTGTATCACATTATATAATAATTTGTTAAACATATTTAAGAAATATCTGCATAAATTTTTATTTTCGTGTAACGAAGGATCAATATGTGTTATACATACAGTATAATAAAATATGGAATTATGTAAAAAGTATCTAAATAATAATCATAATTACGTGAATTGTTTTGAAAAAAAATATATTACAAAATTGTCCGAGGTTGCATTATTTAATATTATAATCGGTTTGTATAATAAATAAATGATATGATATTTACTTTCAAAGTAATTTTCGAAATGTAAATTCAATATCAATTTTATTTACTATTTTTTTTTTTAAAAGAAACTTCTACCTTATATATTATATGTGAACAGAAAAAATGCCTGATATGTGATTTAAGGATATAATTATTGATGCAATTCTTGCAACCCAACTCAATTTCAAAAATGTTTAGATAGATGGAAATGAACAATGGAATGAATACTTTACGATGGATTTCAAGATATTAAACAAAAAGTTATGGATGTATTGAAATTTGGGATTTTAGAAATCGATAGTGGGAAAGAGATGCTCGACAAGTGGTATTATAAAAATTTGAGATATTAATAAATATTTTTAAATGAAATTAATATTTATTGAAAAAAAAATGTATAATAAGTTAATTAAAATTTTAAATATAAATTATTTTAATGGCAATTCACTTGAGAACGGGAGGTAACTTGGATTTGATGACATTACAAAAGATCTAGAATTCACAAATATGTGATAGTATTAGAAAAGTTTTACCATAGCAACTGATTTGCAAAGTAATTACATATCATGATGATGAGTTAAATTCACACTCCTATATTAATTACACATTTATTTTATTGTAATTTGAATTTTTATTTATTTTCTTTTTATTGAATTTTTTTTTCTCATTTATTAAAATTAAATTAATTATTATTAATGCAAATAAAGATTTGTGGTTATAAATTATAAAATATGCAAACGGCAAACTACAATAAAATTCGTTTCTTGTTATTATATTAAATAAAAATTAAATTATGAGAGCAACGAAGCAACGAAACAAACAACGATGCAACGAAGCAACTAAACGAACAAAGAAGCAATGAAGCACTTTAAACAAGAGTTATGTGACCTTTCCCTTTCCACCAGCTATCAATTCATAAATTATTCAATACATTTCGTTATGAAATAGAATTCTTGTTTTTTTTTTTTTAATTTAACGAATGACATATTAATTACATTCTGGTGGTTGTTATTTGTGATCCTATAACTACGCAAATAGAATCCGTGTATTTTTAAAGATTCAGATCTTTCTGTTCCTCCTCTAAATATAATAAATTAATTAACAATTAAAATACTCAATAATTATTTTAGAAAACAGAATTTACTAACCTATTTTTAATCAACTTTAAAAGTTAAATTAACTTATTATAATGTTAATTAATTAGTTCATTTTATGATTAAATAACCTAAATATTTAATTTATTAATTAAATTAAAATTAACATTAAAATTATCTCTAAAAATTACATAAATTTATCTAACATTGATTTTTAGTACACAGTCTATTTTCATATTCAATTTAATAGAAAAATAAATATTACAATGAAACACACAACAAACTAAATATAAGTATTTTCCGATTTTCTTTATATTTCTTCTATCGAACTCCATATTCTTCAATAACTTTAAAATGTTCATCACTTAATGTGAATAGTCCTGTACATCAACAGTTTTATTTCCCCCTCCTCTTTTACAACACCATCCTTCAAAGAATTTTCTTCACTAAATATCCATGGATCATCATAATCCATTGAAATTTCAATAGTTTCAAACGATTTTGGTACATTCTCAGCCATTTGACATAGTAATTCATCAGCCTCAAAATCCTCTATTTTACAATCAAATGAAAAGAGTCTTAGTTCATTAAAATTATTATTAAATATTTCTATTATTTGTTCAGGACTTATATAATATAAATATAATTGAGTAATCTTTGTACAATATTTTAAAATTGCTGAAAATGTATCAGATTTAATTGTGGGATATGAACATTCTTTAAATTTGTACTGGCCGTTTCTAGAATTTTTATAATAAATTCTTGAGAATACTTCTGAGCTACATATTCTGAATGAAAAGAATGAAAAACAGTTAATTGAGTAAATGATGAAGCCAAGGATAAACAATCTGATTTATGTAATCCAGAACAATCATCAATTTGAAACTCTTGAAGTGAAGTAAATTGTTCAATTAGTGATGAATTCCACTCAACGTGATTTAAATTTACTAAATATAAACTAAGACTCTTTAATGTTTCTGTTTGACTGATGATAGCCTAAATAATGAAGAGCAATCTAGATACCTATTACTAAGAATTGATAGATTTTCTAACCGTTTTTGTACACTAATAAGTTTTGCTAATAATATAATATGAGAATCTAAATCGAAAGATAAATCCATAATTATAATATTCTCATAAATTAATGTTAATGATTCAAATAATGGTCGATACAGTATTACATCTTTTCGAAGTGTAAAACTTTTTAATTTCTCAAATACTTTTGGGGCACCAGGTAAATCGAGAATTGAACAAATTAAATCATCATAATCATTAGAGTCTACCTTCAATTCAAAACAATCCAAAAATGTACAACGATTTATTATTAATTTACATATCTTGCGAAATAATATTCTTGATTTGTTAATGTTATTATTCTTAATATTATTTTGATCCGAACCAATAATTTGTTGCGAATTGAATTTAGGTGAATATTCGTTTACAAATTATTAATTATAAATTTATGAGTGAATGATAGATAATCAAACGTGGCTTGAGGTGGTGATGATGACAAATCAAATTCATTTTGAATAAGTAAAGTTCTAGCTTGAGTATTCATGCATGATATATGGTTCGAATACATAATGCTTTCTTCGTCAACCTTTCATCAAAGGTAATTCCAAAATATAGGTATAGTAACTTTACACCAGAATCGATTAACTAATAATGATGAATATAGATCTTGAGTTCAACGAAATGATTTAACATTATTTAAAATTTTTATTAATATTTCTGTAGGAATTTTAGTTGCCATTTTCTTTTCTAAAAATAAAAAATTTTAAAAAGTTTTTTTAAAAAAAAAATCGTACCACATATTTTGTCGGCATAAACTTTTATTGTACAATTCCTAATCAATTTTATATTAATTAAATTAAAATAGTCGATATACTGTATGCGGTGTACTGGAATTATGTAACAGAAGTATTGTTTCACAATTTCCTTTTCGTAACTTTAAAAAAAAATTTTACATAGTTAGTCTCCGAAGCCCGAAGTTACATTAATCTTGTTACACAATTCCATATGCAATGCGATATTTTGAATTTTTTTCGAAATGAAATTCACTATAAATTTATTTATTGATTTTTTTAAAAAAGAAACTTCTACTTTACATACTATAAGTGGACAATAAAAATGCCCAAAATAGGAAATTTTTATTGGTGCAATCCGTGCAACTCAACGAATTTACAAATTTATTTAATAAAAAATAAATTATTATTGAATTTCGAAATTTTAAAGAATTTTAAAATTCAGTCATATTAATTGACTCTCAACTCCCAACCTAAACTTAGAGATCAAGGTCATGCAAATTAATTCTAATAATTAGCGAAATATAAAATAAAATTAATTAGATTAATTAACGATTTAATTTAGGTACGAATATGTGATCGAGAAAATAATCGATATTCGGCGAGATATTTACGTTTAAATTCAGAAGTCCGTGAGCAAAAAATTTACGGAAACTTTGAAAATCTCCATAATATTGTCACAAATGTGCAGAATGTTTCGAACACGTTGGCCTATCAGTCTCAGAGTTTTTCTCACACAAACTAATTTTTTAATATGCTCTATCTGCCAATAGGTCAAGCAATCCGACAATCTAAACTTGCCTATCTCGAAACAGATAATAAATATAATATAATTCTTTTTAATTCTTTATTTTTAATTTGAAGGCTCAGTGAGTAAGGTGGAGTAAAAGTGTTATGTCATGATATTGCAAAATATTGTTAAATATTATTTGATACTGTGCTAAGTTTATTAAAATATAAAAGGTACAAATTTAAAAGTAAAGTATCATTTAGCAACAGAAATATTACAGGTTACGTGTCTATTTTACCATCCCTAAAGTAAGTTTACTTTTCTATCTAATAATATTAATGTTCAGAACTATACGTAATTATTAATTAACTGAAGTCTAAAAAACTACTAAGACTACTGTTTCCTATCTCCAACGACCACTTCTTTTATACTTTTTCACCTTCATTCAAATTTTTACCCGTCATCCTTTGTACTTCATCCTTCATCCTCATATCTTTTGGATGACAACACAAGTTATTATCCTCATAAAATCATCTTAGTGTTACCATTTATCATCCCTCGAGATAATCCGCACGCTTCCCAATTTACTTCGCCACAATGATATGAAATATGACGTAAAAATTATTTGCACGAACGTCCGACTTTAAACGTGAAGATCTGATGAATCTTGAATCTACAGGAATGAAACATATATTGACATGTGGCCAAAAACTAGAGCGTTCGATCCATTTTCGTAAATCGCGAACGAAATCAAAAACGGATTTTTTTTGTAAATGGTGTAATATTACGTAATATTACGCCCCAAAAATTTACTGATGAGTGATTCTGGTAATTTCTCAGCCATTTGATAATTCATCAGTATCGATTATTTCTCTTCCATAATCAAATGAAAATCTTCTTAATTCGTTAAAATTGTTATTAAATATTTCTATTATTTGTTCAGGACTTAAAACTAAGTTAATTCTGTAATCTTTGTACAATAATATCGAATGTAAATAACAAAAATCACTTAAGTGAAGCCAAGAATAAACAATGTGATTTATGAAATCCAGAACAATCTACGATTCAAAGTCCTTGAAGAGAAATAAATTGACCAATTTGTGATGAATTCTTCTCAACCCGATTTAAATTTACGAATCTTAAACGAAGACTCTTTAGTGTTTCTTTTTGACTGATAATAGCCTAAAATAATGAATTACAATCTAGATACTTATTACCAGTAATTGATAGATTTCTAACTGTTTTTGGATGCTGATAATTTTTGTTAATGAATGGAATGATTTTTAGAATCTGAAGGCAAAGATAAATAGATATTTAAAATATTATCACAAATTAATGTTAATTATTCAAATAATGGTCGAAACAGTATTACATCTTTTCCAAGTGTAAAACTTTCTAAGTTCTCAAATACTTTTGGAGAACCAGGTAAATCGAGAATTAAACCAATTAAATCATCATAATCTTCCATCCAAAAGCCTGAGGTTTCAAAACAATCCAAAAATGTACAACGATTTATTATTAATTTACATATCTCACGAAATAATATTCATGATTTGTTATTAATATTATCTTGATCCGAATTAACAATTTGTTATAGATTGATTTTAGATGAATAATTGATTTTAAAATTAATTAATTTAACTACTATTAATTTATGAGTGAATAATGGATAATACAAAGTGGCTTGAGGTTTGTGATGATGATAAATCATATCCATTTTGAATAAGTAAAGTTCTAGCTTGATCATTCATGCATGATATATAAGTTCGAATACATAATGCTCTCTTTGTCAACCTTTCATCATACATATAGCATTCTTGACCCAAAGGTAATTCCCAAAGTATAGGTATAGTAATTTTGCATCAGATTTGATTAACTAATAATGATGAGTATAAATCTCGAGTTGAAAGAGAAGATTTAACATTTTTAAAATTTGAATTAATATTTCTGTAGGAAGTTTATTTGATATTTTTTTTAAGAAATAGAAAAAAGTGAAATTTAAAAAAAAAACTTGTACTATATTATTTTAAAAAACGTAGTTTGGACTAGTTTTGAAAAAAAAAGTGAATGACTTTCGTTGAATTTTCGAAAATGTAATAAAATAAATAACAAAATAAATGATTTTTTCTTTATATTAAATCTAATCAAATTTTATATTATTTCAAATGAAATAGTCAATATACACAATGTACTTCATATAGAGTAAATTAAAAATATCATGGCGATTAGTCTGCTCATGGTAGCTCCATTATATCTTTAATGATTGATTAGGTTAAATTCATATTCTATTTGTATCCTATATTTTAGGTTAATTTTTCATCATGTACCACCTATTCGCTAATTCAATTGTAAAATTTCTGTAAAATTATTATTATCAATTAGCAGACGTGGAATAAATAATAAAATATGGAATTATGTAACAGAATTATCTGAAATAACAATTCTATGAATTCTTTTCACGATTTTCTTTCACACTTATAACTCGAAAAAAGTATTATTAAAAAGTTAGTTTTCGAAGCTCGAGATAATAATATATTATATATTATATATTGTTGCACACTAGTTATTATATAATAATAAGTAACATTAATATATACATACAATACATTTGTAATGTTTTACAAGCCTTACGTTATTAAAAGCAAAAAATTAAGCATTTTTAGAATGAATGCAATAATAATATTAAATATGATCATTACTTTCTTCTTTAATTATATCTTAATATTGAAACTTTACTTAATGGAGATTTGTTTTATTCTACGAATGTTGCATCTGTTTGGATAATAACTGAATTTTATAAAAAATATAAAGAATTTATTACATAATTTTATTTTACCTTATCGAATTTATAATTTATAATTTAATTTCTTTTTTTTTTTTTGTTTTTATATTTACTAATTAATTCAATGGTTGGTCATTTGGTAATTTATTTAAATAGTTTAACAATCAATTAATTATATCATACTGACTAAAGTAGTTCGATAATCTTTTTCTGTAAATTAATATTAGCAATTATATTCCAGTGATTCTTTAACATTCACAATTAAATACAAGGTGGGACGCGTTAATATCCTGGCCAAATCAGCCGACTATCATGTAGCAGATAAGTGTTAGATAGGTACTCGAATATGGATATGTGTCAAAAAATTCACACCTTGTACAGAATACCCATAGGTATAAAAAATATTTTTCACATTTAAATATTGATTTTTAACTAGTCTTTGTATTTACAAACAAAAAAACATATATTTATTATTTTTTATAGTATTAATACAAATAAAGTGATAATTTTGTCAATATTCAGAATACTGATTTCACAGACGATTTCGAAGAAAATAGATAGCTCAAAATGTTTATGCATATTTCAATCAATGAAACATTTGGTAACGCAGTCAAAATAATTATATAACTGATACCTAAAAATACTGAAATAAATCATCGAATGAAATCTCAATTTAATATGATGAATGATGAATGATGAATTTAAATATTTTTTGAGAATACATAAAGAACAAATTTCCTTCTATATTTAATTTTCTCTTAGTATAAATTATGTGAAACACCTCACTTGAAACTGTTAAAAAAGTTAATTCATATAATTTATATATTATTTTAATAAATCATAAAAGATTAATAATACAAAATATTAATTTATAATAAAATACAGTTATATAGTTTATTTATATTGGTTACTAGACTAGAATAAATAAATAAATTTTATGACATTATAATAATAATCATACCAATTAAAATTTTGGGTCATCAATTGATGGTAGAAAAGATTTATTTTTAATTGAAGGCAAAGATTTACTTATAAATGATACTTCAGGATGAGTGTATTCTTCAAAATCTATATTTTGCAATTCTTGATCTGCCTTTAAAAACATAAGTGAATCTTTTGATTGAGATTCAATATTTAAAATCCAATTCAGTAATATATCAGAAATAATTTCAATATTTGGTCGTCCAGTTGGATCTTTATTCCAACATTTTTCCATTAACTCTATGTAACATTGAGGTGTTCTATTATAAACTTTTGGTCTGAGTCCTTTAAAAATGTCATCAGCTAATTCTATATCATATGCTCTGTTAGAAAATGGAATTCTAAAAGTTGATACTACCCACATTAAAATTCCAACACTATAAATATCAGAAGCTTGAAAATATTGATTTTTATGTAATACTTCTGGTGCAACATATGGTAATACACCAAATATTCCAGGTACATTTGTTGGTCTGAATAATCCTAAATCTCCCAACTTAACAAAACTGGTATTATTATATGTTTCAGTTATCATAAGGTTACCAGGATGAAGATCACCATGAATAAATCCTTTATTGTGAATAACTTTTAATCCTCTAATAAAAGAATTTAATAACCATAACCGTTCTTTCCAAGGTAATAGTCTATTTTTTTGAAGAAAATCTCTAAGATTTCCATCTTTCACATATTGTAAAACCATTGCATATTCTTTTGTGATTGGATCTAAAGTCATACCAAAAATTGGTAAAATATGCTTATCTCGACAATTAAAATTTACTGTTAACTATATCATTAAGTTATCAAGATATAAAAAGTTAAAATTAAATATTTCACACGTTATAAAATTAATATATTTAATATATTTACCTCTTTTAAAAATTCGGAATTAATTTTTTGTGAATTCTTAAGCTTCTTCAAAGCAACTTGATTTGAATAATAGAATTCAAATAATTCTTCAGGTATATCCATCCATTCTGCTTTCCAAACACTAGCAAACCCTCCTTCAGCTAAGAATTCTATATTTTTGAATTTGTTATAATCTATCCATCTCCAAATTTCCCATTCTTTTGCATTTTCATTTAACTGAGTCATCAGAATAATCTTATCAATTTCATAAGTACCACTAGTCCATTTTGACATGTAACTTGTTTCTATAAGTTTACAATTTGGACATGTGTTTTTATAAATATTTAAATTTCCACAATTATGACATCTGCCAAAATTTTGAGAATATTTTTTACAGATTTTATTGCAACCATTTGACTTCCAACAAATACAGCAATTAAAATTTTTATCTATAAAATTTTCGATGCTTTTTAAATTACCAATTGATGATTCAAATGATAAATTAAAATTATCTTCATCCAAATTTAGTAATGAATCGTTTTGATATTTAAAGAAATAATCAATAAAATATTGTCTGAATTTATCTTCTTTAGATGATTTCCAATACCAATGAAATGCTTTTTCTTGATCTTTAGTGGTTCCTATTCCGTTTTCATAACAGTAACCAAGATTAAATTGTCCATAACTATTTCCCCCTTCAGCTGATTTTGTATACCATTGAAATGCTTTCTTTTCATCTTTTGTGATTCCAATCCCATATTGGTAAAAATAACCAAGATTTTTCTGTCCGTCATGGTTTCCTCCTTCAGCTGATTTCAAGTACCATCGGAATGCTTTCTTTTCATCTTTTGTAGTCCCAATTCCATTTTTATAACAATTTCCAAGATTATTCTGACCTAGGTAGTTTCTCCCTTCAGCTGATTTCAAGTACCATTGAAATGCTTTTTTTTCATCTTTTATTGTTCCGATCCCATGGCAATAACAATATCCAAGACTATTCTGTCCATTATGGTTTCCCCCCTCAGCTGATTTCAAGTACCATTGAAATGCTTTCCATTTGTCTTTTGTGGTCCCAATTCCGTTTTCATAACAATGTCCATAATTATTCTGTCCACCACTATTCCCTCCTTCAGCTGATCTTGAGTACCATTGAAATGCTTTCTCTTCATCTTTTGGGGTCCCGATTCCATTTTCATAACAATATCCAAGATTTTTCTGTCCATTATGGTTTCCCCCTTCAGCTGATTTCAAGTACCACTGAAATGCCTTTTCTTCATCTTTAGTTGTTCCAATTCCATGTCGATAACAATATCCAAGATTATTCTGTCCAGTAGTATTTTTTCCTTCGGCTGATTTAAAGTACCACTGAAATGCTATCTCTTCATCTTTTGTTGTTCCAATTCCAAACTCATAACAACGTCCGAGATTATATTGTCCAGCAATGTTTCCACCTTCAGCTGACTTTAAGTACCATTGAAATGCTTTTTCTTCATCTTTTATTATCCCAGTCCCATATTCATAGCAATAACCAAGATAACACTGTCCAATTATATTACCACCTTCAGCTGATTTCAAGTACCACTGAAATGCTTTCACATCATCTTTTGTTGTTCCAATCCCATTTTCATAACAATCACCAAGATTAAATTGTCCTGTAGTATTTCCTTCTTCGGATGATTTTAAGTACCACTGAAATGCCTTCTCTTCATCTTTTGTTATTCCAATCCCATTTTCATAACAACGTCCAAGATTATATTGTCCTGTACTATTTCCCTCTTCAGCTGATTTCACGTACCACTGAAATGCTTTCTTTTCATCTTTTGTAGTCCCGATTCCATCTTCATAACAAACACCAAGAT